CCGCAGAGTCCAAGGGACAACTGTTTGAGGCCGGTCACGCACGGCCTTTTTATCAAAGGTATTTTGAGGATTAGCTCCGTTCTTAAAGGCCCTTAGTGGGCACCCTTACCCAGGGAGACGGAAATCCGTGAGTTAGGGGGAGTGTGACATTTTTAGGGCCGACCTTTTCTAACCCTTCCTTCCTTGTGAGAAGGCAGCATCGCTGCAGATGCTGGTTGTCCGAGGGAAACACCTTACTGCTGTCACACCCCTCTGCAGTCAGCAGTACGACTTCGCCCTCAGACCTTGGGTAGCTGCTTTTAGTCTCATCGTTCTCCAATCGACCTGCCTGGCATGGTAGGACCTGCTGGAACATATGTTCCAGCCAGTATAGCTCGGTTGGGTCATCACGATAGGCAAGCCCGACCACCACGTCAAGGTAGCAGCTTCGGTCGGGATATTCAAAATAGGGATGGAAACAGCAATATTTAACAGCCCAGAATCGGATTCCATCTCATGTGAACAATCGAATATGCTGTGAAATAAATCTTTCATCTAATTTCCGTATATCATTCTTAGGCGAACTCCATTTGCGCGACGACGGCAATAAGAAGCCAAATACGAATTTAGTTGGACGAGTTTATTTCATGTAATAGTTCATGCAGACAGATAAAAAGAGGGAAAGCGAAGCGAAGTGAAGGTGGGAAGGCGAAATGGTCATTCAGTGTGATTAGGCATAGTTAAGTATTTTGTGTCAGACAGAAATAAGCTAGACGCGTGATGAACGAAGGAAACAAAGCACACACATACAAAACTACCGATGTTTTAAGCGAATAAATAAATGACGAGGTCGAAAGGCATGCAAATGACACGAGAAGAATGGATCAATTTCATTTGTTCAAACTCTGGGACAAGCCATGTGGGCTTGACATACTAGTAAACGCAACAAATGCATTGGTTTCAGCTAAATCGGTGTCAGTAGATTAGAGCTAACTTTTAAAGCCTCCTGAATATGAATAAGATAGAAGTGGAACAAATTACCATTCTGTATACATGATTTTGTGGAAGTAAATCAGTATTATCACAGATATCACAGATCACCATTTTGAAATTTACTGTGCCTATTTGCAGTTTGTTCAAAGAACTGTTATCGCTTAAATGAGAAAAGACTGACGGAAATTTTTATTTCACCTTTATTACAGAAATAAAAAATGAGTTTTTTTGTCGAAAATCGCTCAGTTTTACATGGAAATCATAATCGACAATATTATTTAGGATAAAATCTTTCTACAATTAAGTGTAGTTAAACTTTACCTGTCATATTTCTTGTTTAGTAAAAAGAACTTGTTCAGCAGACCTTTTATTTTGTTAGATTGTACTTTATATTTTACAAGAAATGCTTACAGGTTTCATACAAGCTTATCTACAGCATAATAAAGGATTTACCAAATATGCCTATCATATGAATTACCTTTCTGTATGCACCAGTAAGATCATTTGGTTCTGTTTGTATAAAACTTGAATGAATATTTCTTGGTGATTGAATCACAGACAATTTAGGTTTGGAAGTGAATTCTGGAGGTGCTAAACTTGTTGAAGATGTGATCAGTTGACGATTGAGAACATCTCCCACAATACGATTAACTGCTTCAAGACTCATTACAGGTACACCTTCAGAAGGATTATTCTGGAAATTTACCGGACTTTTTATACCAGGGACAATCTGGTTCCCGTAAGTAATCACTGCATCTAAATGTAAAAAACAAAAATACTTCAGTATGAAAATATGTGTTATCTTTAATTAACAGAGTTTTTTCCGAAACATGTATAGGTGTTGGTACAAAATTTATAATGTACCAATGAAATTATTCCATGCAATGTTTCTAAGAACAGTTTATCAAAATAGGGATACTGATTTTGCTGCAACTTATTGCCTTTCTTTTCTAGAATGTTTCGAACACAGTGAACCTGTAAATGAGATGGTACTTACGTCCTATACAATCAAAGTAGACAGATTCTGTATACATTATGTGTAACATAAAACGTGGAATAAACTTTGAATAGCATTTGTATTTATGCTGTTCAAATTTTTCTTGGGCAACAGTTGCATTAATTTCCAAGATGATGAAGTTTAATATATGATAAATATTCTACTTCTGATGATAAAGTCGTGTCAATTTTATTTGTGTCATAGAGTTATTCATTTAAAATAAGTACAACTTGTTTAAACAACAAACTAGGACATTTGTTTGAATATACACATAGATGAAAGCTAATGAATTATGTTAAAATTACATATATCATTAAAATGCAAAATTTAAACAGCACAATACCAAATAATAGTATTCACAAATCTTAGATTTGTGAATAGAAACCAAAATATTTACTAGTACGGTAAATGTAACTTCTTTTTACCATGTACTAATTTGTCCAGTCAGTAAACTCATCTTTTGTAGTTGAATTTTGTACAACTTAGCACAATTGCGTAGTTGAGATTTAAATGTGTTAGATGGCAAGCAACTATGATAATAGTGTCTAAAAAGTGATAGAACTAGTTAGTCGAATTTCATTTAATGAGGAACAATTAATGATTTTCGACCAACAAAAATGCACTGTTTCTTTTAAATAAAATCCTTTTTTCAAGTAACTAAAGTTACACAGACTGGTTTCGTATTTATCATATTTAATATATATTTCGGGCGCCAACATGTTGCTATACATATACTTTGTCTGGTTGTGTAATCATTCAAAGCAAAACATGAATGACATTTCGTAAAGATTATTTTAAACGTTATACGAAATGAAAATATCAAACGCATACAAACTATTTTGATATAATTAAGTAGCTTTTTCATATGAACACAATTTGTGAACAGAAACAAGCGAAATATTCTGTAGAAATTAAATATCCTTTCCTTTTTTTCATGAACTGATTATTTTAAAATTTAACAATCTATAGATTGAACAAATATGAAACTGAATCTAATATCATACAATGACATGAAATGATAGACAGATGAGAAAACAAAAGAATGTTGTATTAAGTTCAGGGTTGCCGATTATTTCTACAACGAATATTTTACTGTTGAAAAATATACCAAATACAAAGTGAACTTTTATTAAAATAAGTAAAAGATTGTAATATATGACGCTGATTACTCAGTTCAGTTAATTTAGCAACATGGTCGGAGAATATTAGTTGATAGTTAAATTCAATGTCGCTATAGTCCTGAATTTATGATAATGGAAAATTATAATATTACATAACTGGATAGGATAAACACGTTTGAAACCATGAATCGATCAGTGTTAGACCACCATTAGAAAACTGGAAGCATTGGACGGCCATTTCATCCTGGTATGGGTATTATCAGCAGTGTGCATCCACGACTCCTGCACCCTGCAGGACTCAAACCCAGGACCTTCGGTCTTTTGCACGAACTCCTAACCTCTGGACCACTGAGCCGGTATGAAACGGTGTTAGATGACTAACTTGATCAATTAAAGATAAGGCATTTCATTGATATATATTATTTTCAAGGTATTGGTTGTGTTAATTTAAAGAAAAAACACTGTTTTTCATCAGTTAAACTCTTTCCTTTTCATTCAATATGTGCATTCTTTATTCAAGACAATTTCGAACATCGAATTTCAAAGCAGGTAAGAAAATAGATGAATTATATGATTATTGTATCAACTAACATATTTTAAGCTCTTATTCAGTAATATCCATTTCTGTTTGGTGAAAGAAATCTATCGGTTTACAAGGTAGCTATCTAGCTAGCTGATAAAATAATTGAATTCTTATCATAATTTATATCTTATTTCTTTTAAAATATTTGTAGCTGATGATAAGAAAACTTGATTAGTTCATTATACTAGTTATGTTTACTTACCATCATCAATGATACTTGTTTTTTTCATACAATATGGATTATTAAATCCTTTTTCTGGTGGTAGTTTAATTACTGAAGTTTTTGGTTTTCTCATTAAATTCATATTATATGCAGGATGATCTGTTTCAATGATAGCATTTAATTCAGTGTTTTGTCGTGTTAATGCCTAAATAGAAAATATGAGTTTTAAAAAAGAAACCAACGTAATGAGTCACTGAATTCGGTAACCAATTAATTGAAATATAAATAAATTTTAGTTATCGATAATGTTACTCAAAAAATATAATCGACAAACTACCAACTGGTCGATAATGTAAAATAACATAATATAAATTAGTATGTATAGTTCATTTGACAGAATCTATTCACTTGTTATACGTGCTGACAGTGTCTAGACTGAATGATGATCAATAGAGATACCAATGTTTTGTTAAATGGTTGTCAAAGCAAAAGACATCATAAAGTCATGTGAATTAACAAACAGGACAATGTAAAATAATATAATTTATAGCTTCTCTATTAACGAGAAATTCATTGATGAGAAATTGAAGGTTATCATGAAATGACTTGATTAGAACGTATAAGATTTCTAAAGTCTCCCTGTACTGGTAGGTTGACAAGTTACAGTGTTATGAACAGCAATAACAAGTTTCAGTATTCAGTTATGACTGTCCAAGAAGTTAACTTACACAGAGGAAAATTACGACGACTCTAGCTTACGCAATTTATCGATCGACGAATCGGTAAACTTTAACTGACAAATCATTCGCATATTTATCCAATTTTTAAAGTGAAGAAAACTTATCAGTTCGCCTTGGACGAAATAATTTTTCTTTTCATCATTTAATAGTTAACTGGTTAAAACAAACAATTCATATCACAAAGCATAAATATCGTAACTCTTGGCTGTTAAGTTGTAGGTTACCAGTGACATAAATGCTATAAATCAAAGAATGAGTAAATGACCATCACTCATTAGTGGGTCCCTGCTAATTGCAGATATTGTTGTAACACCAACGACGATTATGCCAGAAAGTGTATTTCATGATAAGTTAAATGGACAATTCGAGATACAAAGATACATTTTAAAATGAAAAGTCAGTTATACTGTTATACAGTCTGTGTGTAAAACATGCATGTATATATATCGATGAATTAGTTCAGTCAGCTACATTATTATAACTTTAGACTAAAGGAAATTACAAGTAGTAATATTAGTCATTCATAGACAGCAGTGAACCTAAAGTATATTACTTAAGTCAAATATAAATTTTAGACTGTGTGGATTTGATTTAAATCTGAACGTATTTTAAGGAATTCAGCCTACCCTTAACAGTTCTATTTACGTCATTGAGATTTTAACCATCTTTAACCATGAAATTATTCAAAGTCAAATTAAGCTCACTTCAGTTTCACTTTCATCGACCTCTGTATCAGTTACATTTTTAACCAGTAATGGATCTGTTTTAGAGATTGCCGTTGTATTAGGATAAGTATTTTCCATATCTTCATTCCCAATGAATTCATGCTTGTAATCAGATGGGCGTAGTGGACGAAATAGGGCTCCGGCTATTGCACAATTCAAATTGACACCGGATAATAACAAAATACAACCACGCCAAGTGTATATTTCAATTAAAGATGGAACAACTAAACTGTAGATTACACCACCTATCCCACTACCAGCCATTATAATTCCAGTTACAGTGGCACGTTTTTTCACAAACCAAGAAGTGACAACTGTGGCCGCCGGTAGATAAATGCACCCGTATCCAATACCTGAAAGTAAACCGAGAACATTCAAATATTAATGAGTCACATTAGATAACCTACTTACTGTAACATAGTTGTTGTATTGATTGAAAACAATTAATTTTATACAGCATATACTGAGGAATGATTGCGTGTTTTGGTCTGGCTACCCCCAGCTCTCTTCCAACCTATTCCTACACCACAAAATATCGCTAGTCGGAGCAGTCGGTGGTTGGAAATTCGTAACATATGTCTGGAGTACCTCAACTGGCGAAGATTCAAAACTTCATCTATTGTTTTGCCATCTCTACCTAGTATTCGTTTCCTAACAAAATCATTGCTTACTCGGTTGTTCCAGGATACACGAGTGCTCCTTAGGAAACATCTATATTCGAATACTAGTAACCTACAACTATCCTCAACTCTTACAGGCCATATTTGGCAGCAATAAAGTAGGATGGAGCGAACTGCTGCACAGTAAACCCTTCCTTTGGATATCAGAAGGATATCTTGTTTATGCTGTAAATAACTCAAGTTGGCGAAAGCCAATCGAATCTTCTCTGTCCGCGTTGAGATTTCGTTGGTACTTATGAGACTGCCGAGATAAGTGAAGCGGTCAGCATGCTCAAACGCTTCACTCTCTATCACTAGTTCAGGTGCCGATGCAACCCAGTCTTAGATTCCGGGGTGAAGAACCACATAGCGAACATGCTTTCACTGATATCTGAGGTGGTCAGAATACTTGTCAGCGTCTTTACCAAGTAGAACTATGTCATCGACATGTTCAGAGTCAACAAGAGAATCTCCGGGTAAAAGTCCAACTCCTGAAAATTCAGATGATGAAAGTGATCTAAAACCACGTCAGTGATAAAGGTAAACAAGAGTGGAGAAAGTGGACAGTCCTAACGAACTCCACCTGAAGTAATCAATTGTGATGACAGTTCTCCATAAGCTCTGACTTGGCCAGCAGCATTCAAGCAGAGAGCTTGTAAAAGGGTAATGTGCTTCTTCGGTATACCTTTAAATGACAGACACTGCAACAGAACCTCACGATCAGCAGAGTCGAACGCCGCTTTAAGGTCTCTACAGCCACGTCCAGCCTGGTCTTTCCCGAGTCTACAGTTCACAACCTCTAGTCAGGCGTCCAAGTTTTATCGACGCTAACATTTTAGACAATATGTTAGGCGAACTGGTTCCTCTGTGATTGTCACAAGAGGACTTTTGTTCTTTACTGTAGACTGTACAGTCAGTGATTGTGACCAGTCAGATGGGATTACATTCAGTTTCCGAATTCTACGCAAGAACTCAGTCAATCTAACTGCTAAACTGGACCACCATCCTTAGGAAGCTCATGGTTCAGTCTGTCAGCCCCTGCTGCTCTCCATCGTTTCAACCTCATGAATACTCGGAGGTCCTATATCGATTTGCCATTCAGGATGACTGGGGATTGTGGAAAACCGAAGCGTGACTGAAGGCTAGTTGAACTGATCCATGAGGTGTTCTGCCCATCGATCCACTCTCCTGGGTTGAGAATGAATGATACAACCATCCCTTTCTGAGATATTTTCACAAACAGAAGATTTCTAACACTGGTTTCCTTGGTTAGGTGGAACAGTTGTCTACTGTTGTCTATCGCCGATGCGTTTTCCATCGCTCTTTATTTCACTACGAACCACCATTCGCGATCGTCGCGTCGTCTGCAGTCAGTGTGAGCTTAGGCAGAGATGACGAAGAGGCGACGGCGTGTCCCTATCTTTCCGAATCCTTACTATCTCTTTATGTTTGTTGGGATCTAGTCTAACAGAGCTAGTTCTGCCCTAGAGCTCAGTGCTATACTTACACCAGTGAGGCCACGGGAAGCGGCAGCAGGGCTTATATATACACAACGCGTAAATCGAGACGGTTCTTTATCCTGATAAGGAGAAGTCAAATGAATGATTCTACTCGGACACTGTATGCGTGTTTCGAAGGCGCAGCACATCGATGGTGCGAGATCCTAAAGTCCTAGCTGAGGAAGCCTATTATTTTATTAGGAAAAAGATTCGAACATTGAGAGCTCAAACATGCAGTTCAGAATGTTGTTTCAGGAGGCCAGGAATAACATTTCGTGAACTAGAATACAATTTTCTGAAACAAAACTTGTCTTATTGAATCGTTTTTGATAAAATTAATCATGAAACTTATAATATCGAAAACATTCCAGATTCATAGGTACTACAAACTAGAATAGGCTAGTCAATCATAACTCGGGAAATAAAGAAAATTATTCGCTAGAAAATAATTTCCCAAACAAAACTAATCTATTTTAGATCTAAATATCAGAAATGGTGAGTTAATAATCTTGATAAATTTTCATGATTGTTTACAGCTATTTACAGTCAAAGTATTTGAGTGAACATTTCTAAATGAATATCATAATTAATTTTTATTGCTTTTTAAAAAGAAAAGAAAACACCTGAATATTGATTATTGTAACAAATATTTACTTTTGCAAAAAGTCGCATCACAATTAAATATATTTCTTTTGGTTGTGTTGTGGTCATTAGAAATAGAGAAAATAAGGATATTTACACTGTAAAATTCATTCTTTCACAAATCAGATATTTCAATAAATTTTTAATTTCAAGGTTAAACATATATTAATACATGAAGTAATGGCTAAGTTATTAGAGAACTTGGCATTCAAGAAACGAGTTGGAGGATTGAGCCCTTAACTAACGTACATCGAATTGACCAGACTTGATAGACCTTATACAAACGACATGGGTCAAAGTTGATTACGCGAAGCAGTAATTGGTACATGAGTTACGTTGATAACTGTGTGCATACTATTAAATGGAACTTAATTAATGGAATACTAAACTCTTGTTATTTACATGATTACATTGATTTTAATACAAACTATAATTTCGATATCGTTCCAAAATGGAAGTCTATAATCCAAACTTTATATATTAACAAAAATGCCTTTATATAATTGTGTGTAAGTCTTTCCTCTCAATAAGTTTCCCAAGAAGATTCATTTCTCTTGGTATGTTAAGAGAATGAATGTTAAATAATATTATGTGTCCTGTGTCAATTGATCTACTTTAAGCAAAACCGAAATTGCATTAAATTTCATTATAGATTTCAACGTTTGTCTAAACGTCATAACTCTAATGTCAATAAACAACACTTATGGTATGATATATGAGGAAGAAATATAAATAGCCAATTATAACCAAGAGAAAATTTAGGTGAATAAGTATCCATGATCTCATTAAAAGAATGTCCAAATGAAGTAAACATTTGCAAACAATGAGAAAATTATTGATTATATATTAAAATAACCTACCCCCGCATATACCGAATACGACAATGAATAAATCCAAATTGTAAATAAATGTACTGGTTAAAATTGACACCGATGAAATCAAAGTGCCAACTATTACAACTTCTCTGGATCCAAATTTATTTAAAAGACCACTTACAAGAGGACCTATAACATATATAAAAGAGAATAATAAATGTATGGTTAGATGACCTACTCTTATTTGGCTTATAAAAATTTCTAATTAATGCCTTGTATTTAACTAGGTTAAACTAAGTTTATTATAGTGGCGAATATAAATAAACACCTATTGCAAGCTTTCATTTGATTACATCGTTCTTGAGATTGGGAATTCAATGGACAATATTCAGAGGTCCACATAAAAATCATTATTATTGAGGTGCCGTGTCGGTATTATGTGGATTCATTTCAATGTGATCTATTGCTATAAAGTACGAAGTGTTCAGTTTCTGCTAGAAAATACCCACTAGCTGATAAAACAAACGGATATCAACTTCTTGAAGAGTTCTTTAAATCTTATATAAGTCTAAAACCGTTTATTCGTCTGTTCTTAAGGTATTAAGCGCATATGTTGTTCCTGGAGATCACCTCACATATAACTTACAAACATTAAAAGCAAGTGATAAATTGTTTAGTTTACTGTTTTTTTTAGTCGACCCTAACCACTGAACATAGGGATCAGAATTTCCGATTACTTGTGAGATTCACTGAAACACACAGAAGAGGTCTTATACACATCTTCGTAATTCAAAATCTCCGGTGACATACACAGTAATGCCAAATTTATCAATCCACAAACAATGTGCGATCGATTTTTGTCGCATTCTCAAATTTCCTCTGCATTTCTGTTATGCTGTTTCAGTTCTGTTTTATGATTTTGTTTGATGGTATGTGTCCTATTCTTAATTGTTTTGACATCTAATTTTATTCCACCAACATTAACCATAATTATTTTTCATATTGTACTTATCAGAACGTCAGTCGATCAGTCAGTCAGATATCATAGTGAAGCTGATACGTCCGTACATCATATTAAGTTGAAATACCCATTAACACAAAGACGAAATTGTCAGGCTTAATCCAAAATTAATAAGGGCAGTGACAGTTTCAGATATGATTACAGAAGTGTAACCCAGTGAAATGAAAAGATTTTAGAAATAATCATCAGGAATCCAGAAACTTAGAACTTGGTGCAGGAAAAACAATGGATGCATCTGCTTCATTGAAAATTATATAAAGCATTGACATTCAAAGTTTAACAAGTAGTTACGATCATCACTGTGACCCCAACCAGGTAGTCTGCACCGCCTAATGTGGTTCATTTCAGTTGTCAGTGACGTCAAGGATTTGTGCCATCTTTTCGTTTGTCCGCCTCTAGCTTTTCCCCAGCCTACTCAGACAACATCACCACAAGAGGCAGTTATCGGTTAAATAAAAGTATCACATGTCCGAACCACCTCAAACGATGAAGATTATCTACTTTATTAGTTGATCTCTCATCCTTCCCTAGTGTTCTTTTGTATACTCTACCACAGCTTACACAAACAATGCCTCGAAATCATCTGTAATCAAATACGGGTAACATAAGAATACTCTATTTCCAATGGCCATGTTTCACACACTCCAAGTAGAGTGGAGAGGGCTGATGCACAGCAAACCCATCCTTTGATTAGTAAACTGATATCTCTTCCTAGCCACAGGTGACGCGAATCGCAAGTCAGTTGAACTTTCTGAATCTGAAGACCATTAGGACTGATGAGACTTCCAAGACTATTGAAGCGGTCAACACGCTCAACTGTTCCACTCTACCAGTAACTCATGCACCGATATAAGCTACTCTCGAAGCAACATCTTCCATTTAAAGGGAAAGAACCACATCCCAAATGTGTTAACAAATATGCTTAAGGTGATCAGAAGACTGTGGGTTGAGGTTTGACGTTTCTGGCGTCGATCTCTTCTACCTCCTTTCCTCCTTCCTGAGAAGGCAAGATAGCTGTAGATGCTGGTTGTTCGAGGGAAACACATTACTACTGTTACACCCCTCTACAATCAGCGGCACGAATTTGCCCTCAGACGTTAAATTTCTGTTCCTGTACTTACCATTCTCCAACAGGCCTACCGATCATGATATGATCTAATGAAACATGTATTGCGACCGGTATAGCTTGGTTGAGTCAACACGATAAGCAAGCTTGACCACCAAGTCAAAGTAGCAGCTGCAGTCAGGAATTACATGATTGTTGTGTTCAAATTATTGAAGCCCCTGAATAAATCAGTTTTGCAGAAAGGGTGTGTTGTTTCGGTTCATAGTAATTAGTCCACATTTCTGCATATATCTTCAAGCTTTTATAGATGAGTATGAATGAGTGAATGCATGTACCAGCGTAAACACTTGTTTTTCATATCCGCTTAAAAATTTGTTAATAAGAAATCTTGATGATACAGGCATTTATTTACTTGTTGTTGAATTTACTCATATATCTTTCTCTCTGGGCTTGACGGCTGAACAGTTTGAAGTGTTCTTTGGAATAAAGTGTTCTGGCTACTTTGTTTTGCCTTTTGGAATCCATGGTTGTACGGTTGGTTGATCTACGAAGCAGAGCAATATACGCAATAATATCTTGATCACCTTTAATCACTTACCGTTCTCATTTAGGAAAATCTTCATTTTCCAAGTTGTCAAATCATGCAAAAATCTCTCGACACATAGTTATTTCTTTGCTTTTTAGTTTCTCATTTTCTGTAATTTCTAGTTAGACTAATAGTTAATTTAGTGATTAGTAGTCTACTTTACTCAATTATTATAAATTGTAATACATTGGGTCTACTCATAAGACGCATGGATACTAACATAAAAACCTCACTCATCCCGTTAATTATTGCTTATAATTAAAACCGAACAATCCTTAGAAATGGGATTTTCTGAAGGAAAATTACCTGCGTCGAAAGCTTTTTTTGTTTAAAATTATCCTATTCAGTGAAGGAAAAAGTATTAAAACATTAAAAATTGTCATTTCTAAACTGATGTCCATTTGGACGTGTTCTTTTGAAAACATACTAACTGACGGAAATGCAGAGCAGTATCCTTATCTCAAGCTCTTTTCATCGTAACATTAAATAAATGCAGAACAGAATGAATCATCGTTAGAGTAATCAATAAAATTAGTTATCATTGATTTCTTTATTGATACATTCTTGAGTCTAGCTGTCGTTCCGACTTATTCAGTATGTACCCTGTATGTGATTGGTTCACTCAAAAGGTTTGTTAATTTTAGTTACATGATATTGATTGGTCACAGTCCTAGGATTTTGAATGGCTGTTGTTAAGGGTTGAACTCTGACCTCTGATCACATAATTAACTGATTAACCTGATCTCCATCGTGAGAAAGAATGAATTTGTCGATTAAATCAAATGCTTGGGACTTTCTAGTTTTTATTTATGTGCACAATCATTGAGCCAAGTATTAAAACGTCGTGACTTTTAACTCATAACCTTAATTTATAAACACTTAGATGTTAAGTACCACTTTGTCCAGTATGGCGTCTATTATAATTCGTGCAACCTTCTTAATAAATAACGTTGGATTCATTTTTTTCCACTGTCACATTGCTTTACTGACGTGAAATAATAACAATATACTACTTTGGAAGAGTTCACACAGAGTTTTAAAGAAATCATTGTACGAATACTGAGATTCCACACTTACCAACCATGAAATAAAATCCAGTTAGTAAAGATCCCCCCAATGTCATTTGCATTTTAGATGCACCGAATGTTTCTTCTAATTCACTAAGAAATAATCCATAGGAAAAACACATCCCATCCACAAGTACCATGCATAAAAAACTGCCAAATACAATGAACCAACCCCATCCTCCATCTGGTGGTAAAGGCGGTGATAGTTTCTCTAAATCAATTTCAACTTCTACATCTTCATCATCATCATCAACATCAGTATTGTTAATATTGTGCACTGGATCGATATCATTCACGGTGGACGATGATTTATACGTTATAGGATGAGATGTTGGGACACGTAAATAGGAAAAAGGTGCTTGTGATGGCACATCGTCTGGCTGAAAGAAACAAGATATAAAAAAAAAGCAAAACGCTGTATAAAACTGATAGTTAGTAATGTTAACACAAACAATTTCAGACTATAATCAGCCAAATTATTGTATTAACAATTCACATTAGCAACTCACAGGTTGAAGTCTCTCTCAATTTACTACGTTTTCAGTGAGTAATAAGCGCTACCGACAAGAACATAAGCTATTGACTGATAAATGACCTGAGCAAATTACGTCAATAAAAAACGCGAATTTCTTGTGAAAGATGGCATGACTATTGAACTATTTGTGTAAACCGTTTGCTAGACAATTCTGAATACGCAGTGATAATAATAAGAATCCTAGCCGTATATATATATATATATATATATATATATATATATATATATATATATATATATATATATATATATATATATGTAAACATGTAGCTAAGCTAATCTTATCACGTGTTCTGGACTATTTGCAGTGAACACAAACTACTTAGTTGTGAAGATATTGTTTTTATCACGTGATCAATATTTAAAAAGGCTTAGGATGAACCGTTAGAGAGAGTTCGCTTCATAAAGTTAATTCCATCCATTTTAATGGATGGCCAACAACTAACCGCATAATGCCGTTTATCATTGGGGGCTAAATAATCATCAAAAAGACGGATGAATTTAAATAAAACATTAATATAATGTTACTAATCAGACTGATAAATGATGAAAGTATATGGTCTTTATGCAGAGTATAGCATATTGAATAGTTTATTAAAATTTCAATCTAATCTGTCGACTTAAATGTGTTATACGTGTTTTAAAAAGTTTGTTAAAGATTTAACAAGTTGATAAGATGTAAAAAAAAAGAAGTAAATCATAAGTCGATAAATCAGTTCATTCAGTTAGTTAATGATTCCAATTTAATGAATTTATACTATTCAATGAATATATCATAAAATTATAATTAATTAGTTTCTATTTTTGATTTGTCCATTAAATTACAATTATTGATTATTGGCAATTGGAAAATGTCTAATTCTTGTTTGTTTCAATTTAAATAATAAATTTCGAATGAATACATTTATATAGATCTATACAATGGATATAATTAAGTGAAGATTCGAGCTACTTGCTAACACATCATTACAGAGTTTATATTTGTTCAAGTAGTCATTTGTAGTCAATATTTCGAAATCAGTTTCATGTAATTGTCTCATAGAGACGAGTTAATAAGTTGTTATTTATTAAGAGGCTCAGGCCCATTGTTAAAAGCATCTGTTGTACACTCATCTGATAGTTTAGGTGAAGTGTATCCATTGCGAGCAATAACATATCTGCTAAGCAATTGTAATTAATTTAACTAGTACACATTAATGTTTATGCTGATAGATGTCGGCAACTGCATCTAATTAAGACAATCTTAATGTCGTGAAAACAAACGAATAACGATGTTATCAAGATCATTTTGTTTTCATCTGATATGTAACTTACAAAACAGTGATTATTTATTCAAAGATAAAACTCACGTGTTCTTTTATTGTTTCCATTTTTTTATTAGGATAGGTAAAGGGAATGCTGCTTAATTTATGTTAAGTAGCTAGCTGTGTTATTCAAAGTCAATCAGTGCAGCAGAGTTTAAATGCATTCATTAATCTGTATTGTGCTTGATTAAAGTGATATTATCAGTGACATAGATTTATATCTTACAGAATTGTGAGTATACGTTTAATCCATGTGATATTCAGTGAATGTCTATTTCTTTTTTAATTCAATCCGGTCTTTAAAAATAACTTGATGGGCTTTATTCATTCAGCCAATCATGTTACAGACGAAAAAATTGATTAGCAATCCAATTGGTTCGTTAAATAGTTCAATAACTAATGTATTATTTATCAACTGCTTATCAAGTAGAAAGTTTATAAATTTTGCATTGTATGGCTTTCCTATTCGTTTTTTAAACGAGAATAAAAAACAAAACATAAATTATTCTTCTATTCTATTCTATTAACTAACTGTGACTAGGAAGAAATTTATGCACTAATTTACTAATTTGTTTAAATATGACTGTTAAAATTAGTGGGAGTGAAAAAGTCTATAACGGAAACTTATCGATTGACCTTTGTGATTACCCCAACAGAAATCTTTCTGTTAAATGAGTAAAGGAAATAGTATAAATCTGTTTAATCAATAATCACTCATAATATTAAAGTATAAATATTCATTGAAATGAAAGTGGACATACAAATATGCTCTTAATATTCTGAACAATGCTGCACCAAACGCTTCATATGAAACGTTTATTACACGTATTTAAATTTAACTTTTAAAATAATTAATGAAAATGAGTCACAACTTTAAGTCTAGATGTCAGAAATAACCTTAGTCTTCCACTAAAGATTGGTACGCGATCAGTCCTTACGGAACCAGACTGTTGATCTCATGCTTGAGCGTCTACGGAGTTATTCATTCTGTTTAACAATACCCTGTTGAACACGTTTCCTGGCATTGAGAGAAGAGTGATACCTCTGTAGTTCTCACACCTGCTGAGATCGCCTTTCTTTGGTATTTTGATCAGGTATCCTTATTTCCAGTCTGTTGGTACCTGTTGTTCATTTCAAATGTTGCTGAAGAGAATGTGGAGCTTCTTTTCAGTCACTACCACGTATTCTTTCAGTGCCTCTGTCGGAATTTCGTTTAAACCCTCTGCTTTGCCGTCTTGATTTGTCTGAGGACCATACAGATCTCCTCAGTTGTTGATGGGCCTACATCGATTGAGAGGTCCGTGGATGCTACTTCAATCTTGGGGGGGGGGTTCAGTAGAGCTGGTCGATTCGGAAGTTTATTAAAGCGTTTCACACATCTGTTTCGCTGTTTTCCATGCTGCTGTTTACTTCACCTTCCTTGCTTTTCAGTGGTCGTTCTGATTTTGGATGGTTTCTAAAGAGCTTCTTTGTTGTATCGTACAATTGACTCAAGCTTCCTTCTCTTAGGGTCTTTTTTGTCGTCATTACTAGATCTTCCAAGTATTTACATTAGTCGGCTTTGATATTCCTCTTCACATGCTTGTTTGCTTCTGTGTATTCAGCTTGTGCCTTGGCTTTCTACTCTCTTGTTCGGCTGATGTTGATTGCTGCCTTATTATTCCTTCTTTCTTGAATTTTCTCAAGAGTACCCATAGAGATTCATTCCTTGTGATGGTACTTCCTATGACCCCAAACCTCCTGACATGGTGAAGTGATTTCCACCCTGATCCCTTTCCAATTTTACTCCATGGTAGTTTTCTTTCCATTGAGTAGATCGTAGAAAGCCTGGGACCTATTGCAGAGGGCTATCTTGAATTCATTGAGTTTGTCAGTATCCCGAAGAAAGGTTCACATTTTTGAACCTGAGCTAAAAAGTTGATTTGTTCTTATTTCAAATTTTATTTACTCTATTAACATACTCTCTCTTTTTTAGACTAAACACACCTTGGTTCAAAGTCCAAGTTTCATCATTGAAATATTTTATTCATTTATTATGCAATTTAAACTTGAGTAATTCATTTTCACTGTTTAACCCCTTTTTTGAATTATTTTTTCTGGTTAGCGTTTTTTTGGCAAGTGAGATTTCAACGGAATGGGGTCGCCAACCCCATGTCCAACCCTCCTCCTTTATCCGGGCTTGGGACCGGCAGTAGCCCCTAAGGTTCTACTGGCGGAGTTTAACCCCTTTACTAGTCAATAAACAAAAGTAATATTAAATAGTATCCTATTAAAGATAAATTTTTTCTACAACTGAAATTTTTGTATAGTGTTAATAATGCATCCCGAATAGCTAGAAAAAGGTATGTTCAAGGCTTTTCGTCAACTTAATCCAAATCGCAATGGATCTCGATTTAGATCAACATTAATACGGTATGAGAATTCAATTAACATTTTTTATAACAGTAGTTTTTAAACTAATAAATAGATGATAAAGAATGTGCAGAACTGTAAACCAACAATGTCACAATCATAGTTAACATATATAATTGAACAAATCATACTTTTTTGTTAAAGATTCAATATTTAAACTATTCTTTTGGATTAGAAAATTTTCTCATTTAGTTGACAGTATTTTATAATGACTGATCAATTTGACCTCAGCTTTTAACATACTTAAGTTATTAAATAATTTATGATTAATCATTCAATTTTTATTTATATCATGAAAGTATATTATTGAAAAATTAAACGATTTCAATTCATGTACATTCAGCTTAATTCTCTGAATTTTTCAGTATAATTTAATTTTACTTACATTTAATATGATGAGTATGCTTGTAAACGTTTGAGAAATTTATTTAGCACTCGTGCTGATCTACTTTTTCTTATACTATTCATATTAGTCAACCTATTACGTCATTATTGCTCTAATGTTTGTTTTGATTTGCAATTACGTTATTGTTCATCTCACACCATATGGTTGTGTTTAACACTTTCATTCAACAGATAAACCTATTCAAATTGACATTATAAGGTAGTCACCTCAAAATTAACAATATCATTCTATTTTGCCTGTCATTCTTGCTCAGGAGCCATGCTAATCGTCTCTGTGTCGTTACAATTTTAGTACGTAGTACCGTCGAAGCGGTACTGCACTCTCAAACAATATATATTTATCTTATACGTGACTGCTTTTGCGAAATAAAAATTCAGATAATATAAATTTAGAACCTGAAGGGTATTTATTGAAAAAAGAATATTCATTTTGTTCAAATATTAGTTTTTTTGCACATTTGAAATCATCAATCAATCATTGTTAGACCATCATTAGAAACCTGGAAGCACTGGGCGGCCGTTTCGTTTTGTTAGGGACTCATCAGCAGTGCACATCCACGACTCCTGCATCTCGCAATATTCGAACCCGGGACCTTCGGTATTGTGCGCGAATGCCTAACCTCTGAGAAAAAAACACTAATCTCCATAACTCTAATTAAAAATATCAAATATTTATGTTTTTAAAATTATCTTTACAATTAAATCATTGTGTTTAAACCTTTTTGAGTTTGTGTTCAGATTATACTTTCACAGTGATTATTTGACAATGCAATTAAAGCGTTATACAATTTATAATGCTATTGTAAGCGAATCCTCGTTTTCGTGTGCAAAGTCGAAAGTAATCAAAGAGAATAATGTTATGAATCTGTTATTTCGAATTCAATGTCACCCAATGTTTTACATCCGTACTAGTGAAAAAAATTCATTACGAAATGAAATAGCTGTCCAATATTTACTGGTCTAGTTAAAGTACCATCAAATTGTAAAGTCTCTATATAAACTTAACAAAACAATCTTTTAGTACTTTTTTATTATAGCTGACATCGATTGCTATTAAAGTTCCTATTACTTATATATTACTTTAACACCTAGAATTCGTTAATGTTATATTAATTATAAAACCAATTTACGCACTAACTACTCTATTTCTAACAGAATAAGTAATTAACTAATTAATTATTAATTAATTAATTATTTAAATCTGATCATCATTATCATATAATAATTTATTCACTTCAAGACAAGATAATTTTGAACAAATCATTTCTACATTAGCGAATTTTTAAGCTAGAAAAAAAAAATCTAACGCAATAACGCTAACTGGAGAAGAGACGCAAGTTGGCTTAGGTCATAGATTACTAGTTTTTCTTTCAAACATAGGAATGACCTTAAAAAACATATTTTCATAGCATATTAATATATTTTATATATTTTGCATTATATAAATCAGGTCATGGTTCATTACTGCCCTAACTACGAAATGACTTATTGTCATCTTGTCATAGAATCATAGAATTAGAAAAGATTCATGAAATCATTTAGAAGGCCTGTAACATGCTATTTTGATGAGTTTAAGTTTCTAAATCTTATAAAATCGATCATAGTTAATTATACAGACGTTTTGTCGAGTGGAATCGAATATGCTATTCAGATTTCAACTATGGAGTCAGCCATGTTAGAAACGAATGGGATATTGGATGAGTGATCTCGAGTTAAAAAATATGAACTGCTAGTTTAATATTCAGTGTCTGAACGGTTTGATATTGAGAGTGAGACACGAAAGAGAGCGGATCGTGAGTGCAAACTACCAACGACTGTTGAATTAAGACGAATTACTAGTTCACCGCTCAGTTAGTTTCCAAAGATTTTAAAGATAAAATAATTTCGTGAAATATAGCATTTTCAGGTTAAACGATTAACAGCTAAACCCAGGTAATCTATGCACAAACATTCTGACGAAATGCTAATATAAGTGATAAAACCATTGTAGATAACTTCCAAACAGTTATTCGTATCGAGATTTCGTGAAGTTCTATGACTTCAAAGTATTTCAAATGTTCAATTAACAAATGGATTTGCATTCAAAAACATGTACGGGAAGATTCAGTTCACTGGCAACATTGAAATGTTCATAGCACTGAATAACATTCGTTGTTATACCTCCCTTCTTTGTTTCGAAGGATGCTTTGATGATCTCAGGTCCGTAAGACTCTCATCCTATAAGTTACTTGTGTAATTCTTTGAAAATACTAGGCATCTATTCTTCATGACCAGAATACAACAACAACTTTTCCTAAACTAGTCTTTTTAGTTCAGCTTATGTCCAATGAGTTTCACTAACTTCAAGCATCACTAGCTAGCTTCAAATGGTATATTCGGTTTTCCACATTTTTCGGGTATTCAATGTCCCAATGTTTATTGTTTTTCTAGTTGAAAGAAGAAGAATCTCGGTTTTTA